AGTTATTATAACAAATCAGTGTCCACTGATGTCTTAACTAGAATGGGTGTTGGGCCGAATTAGAAATAGTCAAATAATACATATAATGGATTCTCAAACATACCATGCTTACTTGCATTTCTTCTTTAATTGAAAACGAGAAAAATGGCCATTGAGTTGAATTATATACAGGATTAAGAAATAGCAAATTGTTGGGCATTTAGAGAAATAGGTCATCCATTACGTCAAACCACTGCCAACTTCTACATCGAATTGATTTGCAGAAGCCCGAATTAAATTTCATATCTTCTACAATATACTACATATGAAAATAAATCGAGGTATGACTTAAATGTTTCTTTAGTCATCTAATAAACATGCAACTAGCGTTCTGCCACGGATTCTCAGGGAAAGTTAGGCAATTTTAAACACAGAGACAGATTTAAAATTTAAATCAATTATTAGTATATTTACTACTTATTTATGATAGGTATAAAATTTAATGTATATGCGTCAGTCTAGTTGTGGGGAATATGGAGTCAGCAGCAAGGTCAGGATGTAATAAGGTGTAACCAATTGGAGCTGCAACTATCCTCAATCTCATATATGTAAGTATATATTGTTCGGATTTATTTTTTGCCGTATGTGATCCAAAACTGTTATTTTCTTGATTCTAGCAACCAGCAAGTAGCTACTATTCCTGCTCAATTATTCTTATAGGTGGATTGAACATGACTATTGTTACATGTTAGATTGTGAAATTATCTTATTTAAAAGGTTAAACTAATAGGAAAAAATACTTTATTTTTGGGATATTTACACAAATAGCCGGTTATATTTATTGTTTAATTTTTTTAGCAATATACATAGATTATATATTAATTATACACAATTATACATATATAATACATAAATTATGCATATATTATACCTCCATCGGCTATATTTATACACCCTGATGTGGATTTAGTTCTTTTTCTTCGGTCAAACACTTGGAAATGTTAATGTTGAATGGATGGCGGTTTTGAAACCTTAGATTCTACCTGATTTTGTACAATGTTGAGTCGTCTAATTCAAAAGTTTTAGGTAATAATTTTCAATTTCCCCGTTACCCAGTTACAAACATAATGATATCTATTTTCTGTATTTGTTGTGAAAATAGCACATGCTAGTCAGTTTTTTGACTGGTAATTAGAAAATAGTCACTATTTGTAAAGTCATTAAAAAACAGCCACTATTTTACTGAAACTTGGAAAGTTCGAGCATAATATGCTGAATTATGGAGCTCCTACGTATAAAGTTCCAGCATATTATGTTCGAACTCCAACATATTATGCAGGAATTTTTTCGGTTTTTGGAGGAGCTTTTGTTCAGATTTTATCTTTATATGAAAAAGTGCTTAAATTCCGATTATTTTTGAAACTGTAACTATTTTTCAATTACCAATTATAAATCTGATTTTTTCTAATTTTCTTTCCCGTATTTGTTGGATGGTCTTTTCCTTTGTTCAACTTGGGCTGTACAGTAAAACGAGTAGTTAACTGGGTTCACATTCTTAATGGATTGGTGTCAATCATAATCCACAAGCCCATTATATATCTAAGAGAAACTTTCATAAATCATTATGTTTTAGTGGTTATTACCTAGTTGTAGCTACCATTTACTATATTACTTACTATAGCTATGTTTTCAGATTTTTTAGAGTGTATTCGATGTATTTAAGCTACTGTATTCATGAATACAGTAGCATTTCTAGGCGTGAAACAGGAGATTACAGCTAGACAAATTTTTGTATTCGACTGTATTCATGGCGTGAAATATGGGATTACAACTGGACAGATTATTGTATTCGACTGTATTCACAGCGTGAAACAGGGGTTTACACTCTTTTTAAACGGAAAGTGAATCAATTAACACAATAGACCCCTTATATAACTCAACAAACACAATTATAAATCTAAACACATAAAATACATAATTTATATTAATTAAAAAGATATATGAATACATTGATGGAATATAGCGAGAAAGTGAATACAATGAAATACATGGAATATAGTGAGATACATTGAAATACAATGAAAAAAGAAGACAATGAATACAATGAAATACACAGAATACAACGAGATACATTGAAAATATATTAACAGAATCTTCAAGTTGCTCAGCCCCAAACTTTATCATCTTTGTTCAAGAACAACCCAAATGTCGTCTCGTCGAGAGGCTAGCGATAAAATTTCTCTAAATAACTATACCGGTTCGACTTCCACCCAAAATCCTCACTTCGAAAGCTTTCTGCTTCAGAGTCTCAACAATGGCGGCTTCTTTATATAACTTTGTCAGGGTTTTTCGAACGAATCCCAACCACATCTAAAAACTACTGAAAAAATTTAAATCTGACTTCAATTGTGATTTCAACGTCGAAATTTTGATGAGATTTTACAAGTGAAAAACTCCAGCTTGCAATTTCAACGTTTGTAGGCACGTTGCAATCCTTTGTTTTTTTTCCAATTAAATTGAGGTATAATATAAACAATTTGCTTGGTCGCAACCTTTGCTAGGACGTTGAACGTGGTTGTATTCATGGAGAAAGACTAGCGTTGAGAGAGAGAGGGTGGAGAAAAATCTGAAAGAATGAGGGAAAAATAATACAAAGCGTATTTTATGGCTTAAGGGTAGGAGGTGATCATAAAAAATATTTGGCTATAAAAATCAAAAAGTGGCTATGGAATATAATTTTTTAAAAGGATATTTATTTAAAATAAATAAGGTATCAACCTTTGCTATAGGCGGTAACTAACCCTATATGTAACTTCATCCGATCCACGACTATTCATGGGCTTTTAACTTTGAGCCCATAGTGACAATGCTGATCACCATCCTCTAGTTAACATTGCTTATTATGTTTATTGTGAAATTTGAATTTTGAATCTAATAAATATTTCATCTTCTATAATGGATCTCCAATCAATATATATACATATGACAAATCAACTCCGTAGATTAAATTTTCACCTAAATCTTTAAATATAATCTTTTAACCTTTGAATTTTGTTAGAAGTTAGCCTATATCTTAGACACTCATGAGCCATGGCTGTTGTAGGGATACCGAATGTTTTGCCAAATCGTGAACATTCCCAAGGATCACATTCATGTACTAATTCTTTTCCTGACTGTTTTCTGAGCTAATGAAATGTAAATAAAATATCCAATATTGTTGAGGTAGCTTCAAATAAAATGGGAAATCTTACAGAAATGTCACAGAAAAGACTCAACTTATCAACCTCTAGCCATCAATTATATACTTAGCAAAACTAGCCAAACACATATAAAAAATAAAAATACAAATAAATAAGGTTCTTTCTCTCCAAGTATCACACACAAAGATCTCCTTTCATATTTTTGAGCGTGATTAGCAACATTAGATGCGAGACAGAAAGAAAATTTCGTGGATGAGGTAGCAAATAAGATGATGAAATACAAAATTCCAAAAAATCTAAGCAAAAGATGACTTTTTTCAATGGGTATGGTTGACATTCATTGAAAACATATAGATGAGTCAATGTACAAAATTTGAGAAAGATTGGAGGTGATTTGAACTGATTTAGTATCAAAATTCGTAGTTAAAATCTAGTTCAAAAAATTCTTCAGCGACATATGTATCAAACATGTATCACGCAGGTATACATGGATATACATGTGATACACATTTGATACAAATATAATACATGTTTGATACACAAAGTGATACATAGTGTGATCTACATATCATTTTTTTCATGTTCATCTTCTATTTTGAATTTCAATTAAAACCACCTCAAAATTCCACCAAATAATCCCAAACTGAGATTCAAGCTCCTTATGACGTACCCAATCTATGTTTACCCCCGAATCCGGATAACAATTGAATTTATATGGGGTTTTAAGGATCCGTGAACTAAAAGATACAAAAGGTTTTTAGGTTGAGGAAAAATAAAGATAAAGACTCAACAATTGCTGTTAAAGTAAATAATCGCAGAATATAATATTGCTTAGAACAATTGTGCTTGATGCCTACAAGAATTTAGAGAGATCTCCTTTTATACATTCTGATTAAGGGTAAAAATAAGGTAGGTAAATTGATTACATCGTGGATCCCTGTAATTACGCCTTAATGGCCTGAAGTGGTTGAGAAAATCACGTTTGGGCGAGATATCCGGCGACGCTTGGTTATCCGTTACGAGTCCGGCTTCCGACCTTGTGTGTTTCTCCATCCGGTGGTGACTCATATCGAGCTCTGTAACGGTCTCGAAATGACTCGACCTCGGTTGTAGACGTGGCCGTCGTTCTACCTTGCATCCAGGTCGGGTTCGATGGCCCCGACTCGCTCCGGACCGGACCCAACCCGGTCGGGCTCAAGCAAAAAAGGGTATCACCCAATACAGATAGTCCCCTCGTTTATTAGAGAGTAATGATAATAAACGATATGACCGGTGACGTGATGCCCGTGACGTATGGCCCTACGCCAGGTGAAAAAGCCATCGNACGAAGTGGTTTTTAGTAACGTAGGGAGATAGTAGTTACGAACGGGGGGGGGGGGGTTTTGGGGACACCGGATAGTTTAAGTAGGAAACTAACAAGAATATGATAGTTTAGGATGATTTTAGGGTATTAACTCTTTGTTTTATCCATTTCTCTTTATTTAATGTACTACTCCCTCTATTCCAATTTATGTGAACCTGTTTGACTGGGCACGGAGTTTAAAAAAATGAAGACTTTTGGAATTTGTGGTCTTAAACAACTCAAAAAGGGATCCACACTATTTGTGTGGTTATAAAAGCTTCTTACTAAGGGTAGACTTGAGAATTTAAGCTAAATTATTTTCAAATTTAAAAATAGTTCATTTTTTTTGGAAGGGATCAAAAAGAAAATAGGTTTAGTTAAATTAGAACGGGAGTAGTATTCTTTTGTTTTACTTATTAATTAATTCCGCAGTTCTCAGATCCTTTGTCACTTTTGTCTTTATTCTGCTGTTTAATGTTTTTACGAGTGGGCTCATCATGTGATTATGCTATGTCCGTCTGTGGCGCTACTCTCTTTGGTCGGTAGAATAACTTCTCCTGACTGAGTTGCGTCAACTTTTCTGTTAGTATATTCAGTAAACTGTTCAAGTTTAAACTTAATGCGATCTTTTTACTCAAATCAAATACAGAGGAAGATCGCAACTCATCAACATTTGTAATTACAATTAAGAAGAAGAGCGAAAATTCAATAACTGCTTCAGCTCAATGACGACTGATTCCAACTGTAACCTTTACACCCTAACTGCTTCTCAAGATGTAAATCTTGGCCAGTGTGAGTTTTTATGTGCTTCTTTCTCAAATCTAATCCGCTAATTTCTTCATTATTTCTTATTGTTAGCATAATAATTTCTATACAAGTTGAGAGCTCGAATTGCAGCTCAGATACTATGATTAAAGAGCAGTCTATGTTATTTCAGAGATTCCTTTCTATCCTGAACTGTTTCCTTTTTTTTGGCAATTACATATTGTCTGCTGGTTTTCTGTTTTTGGTGTCAAAGATCATGGACTGCTTTTCTGTTTTTCCTTTGTGTCCTTAATTCTTCCTTATTAGGCAATCATAATTTTTTTTTTCAGGCAATCGATTTTGTTTTATTGAGTCATGCTCCTCTTTTTACTGTATCCAATTTCCAGGAAAGAATTCAGGCTGCTTTTGTGGCCAGTGGCGTAGCCAGGAATTTATGCTAAGGGGATTCGAAAAAATACTAGAAAGTCACACTAGGGGATTTGAACCCCCTTTGATACTATACTAGAATCTTTATGTCAAGGGGAATCAACAGTTTATATACCCAAAGAGATTCATTTTTGGCCTATTTCTGCTGTAATTTTCGGTGAAAGGGGATTCAATTGAACCCCCTTTGTTCTACATTGCTCCGCTCCTGTTCGTTGTTATATGGCAGCACTCAAGTTCATGGATGGTATAATTTACTCACTTGAGTTTACTTTCTGTATTCATTCTGTCATTCTAGCTCCATAATCTTTCTTTTAGCTTTGCTCATTTCATTTTCTTTCTTCAGCTTGTGAGTACAATAAGCCTCCAGGGCTGGTCAGCGATGATGGTGGCGCTGAACTGGAAAATTACTTGTCAGAAGAAACTCGAGAAGCATGTTTAGGACTTCATCCAGATAGACTTGCATCTATTGTTAGTTCGTACGACATCAAAACCTTAAATAAAATTGGAGGAGTTGAAGGGTTCGCAAGTAGGCTGAGAGTCTCATTGGATGAAGGAGTGAAAACCAGTGATGTGCATATCAGACAAAATATATATGGATCGAACAAATACATTGAGAAAACTTTTAAAAGTTTTTGGACTTTTACATGGGAGGCTTTGCAGGATATAACTCTCATCATCCTCATGGTTTGTGCTGTTGTCTCTATTGGTGTGGCGCTTGCCACCAAAGGGTGGCCAAAAGGAACATATGACGGGCTGGGAATTCTACTTAGCATATTCTTGGTAGTCATAGTTACTGCAATTAGCGACTACAAGCAGTCATTGCAGTTCAGGGATTTGGATAAGGAGAAGAAAAAGATATTTATCCAGGTCACAAGAGATGGATCCAGGCAGAAGGTTTCCATTTATGACTTAGTGGTTGGTGACGTAGTTCACTTATCTATAGGGGATCTGATTCCCGCTGATGGAATATTCATATCCGGATACAGCTTGCTAATTGATCAATCAAGCCTATCTGGTGAGAGTGTACCCGTAAGCATATATGAAGGAAGACCTTTTCTTCTATCTGGAACCAAAGTGCAAGATGGTTCAGCTAAGATGCTAGTAACAACTGTTGGAATGAGAACCGAATGGGGTAAGCTGATGGAGAGGCTAACAGATGGGGTAGAAGATGAGACTCCTCTGCAAGTTAAGTTGAGTGGTGTTGCTACCATTATTGGAAAGATAGGACTAGCATTTGGTCTGCTTACATTTATGGTGTTGACAGTCAGATTTCTGGTAGAGAAAATACTTCACCACGAGCTCACGAAATGGTCTTCGAGTGATGCACTGACTCTTCTAAATTACCTCGTGACAGCAGTGACTATAATTGTTGTTGCAGTTCCAGAAGGACTGCCTCTGGCAGTGACGTTGAGTCTTGCATTTGCAATGAAAAAGCTAATGGACAACCGGGCATTAGTGAGACATCTTTCTGCATGTGAGACAATGGGCTCAGCTACTTGCATATGCACAGATAAGACAGGAACACTAACTACAAACCAAATGGTAGTCAAGAAGATATGGATTTGTGAAAAAACTAAAAAGGTAGAAACTGATGGAGGTGGGGATGCAGTAACTTTGAATATATCAGAAAATGCATTGGCCTTTCTTTTACAGGCAATATTTCACAATACGGGAGCAGAGGTAGTTAAGGATCATGATGGAAACAAGTCGATTCTGGGAACACCAACAGAATCAGCAATATTAGATTATGGATTGCTTCTTGGTGGTAATATTTATGAGCAAAGGAAGGACTGTAAATTCCTAAAAGTTGAGCCTTTCAATTCAGAAAAGAAAAAGATGTCTGTGCTTATTGCTCTCCCAGATGGCAAAGTCCGAGCTTTCTGCAAGGGTGCATCTGAGATAATCCTAAAAATGTGTGACAGGTTTATTGATCTTAATGGTAAAATTGTTCCTCTGACAGAAAATAGAATAAGAAATATTATGGATGTCATTAGTGAATTCACTGGCGAAGCCTTGCGTACTCTTTGTGTGGCCTTCAAGGACATTGAGGATGGCTATGATGAAAATATTATTCCTGATAGTGGCTACACATTGTTAGCTATTATTGGGATTAAAGATCCAGTTCGTCCTGGGGTTAACAAAGCAGTAAAATCATGTTTAGCTGCTGGAATTACTGTGCGAATGGTCACTGGTGACAATATTAATACAGCCAAAGCCATTGCTAAAGAATGTGGGATACTAACTGCTGATGGTTTGGTCATTGAAGGCCCAGAGTTTCGGGACAAAACTCCTGACGAGATGAGGCAAATAATTCCTAGAATTCAGGTTTTGTTCTTGATTATTTAATCTCACTCTTGCAGATCCATCTGATGTAAATAAAATGTTGCTGAAATGCGACAATGTTGAATGCAGGTGATGGCGCGATCATCACCAACGGACAAGCTTGTGTTGGTAAAGAATTTGAGATGTATGTTTAAAGAGATTGTTGCAGTTACTGGTGATGGCACGAATGATGCCCCTGCTCTCCGCGAGGCAGATATTGGACTTGCTATGGGTATAGCAGGAACCGAGGTTTGTAGATTTTCTCCTGTTTTAGGTTAATATATTCCTTACCATTTTATTGTATTAAAGATTCCAAATTACAGTTTTTCTTTTCTTCTGCAGTTAATAATTTGTTCTCATATAAGGGCATAAACTATACCTTTAGGATTTTCCATTTGAATTGCTCATTTACTTAAGTCTATATAGTGAAATTTTGTATACAGAATCACTTGAAAATTTTAAGTTGCCATACTTATAAAGAAGAAAGGTTTTGGAGTCCTAACTGAAGTGGCTCATTGACAAGTTAGAGCAATTAAAAATCAATGGTCTTTCTCGCAGTAGTATGTTCAGTCGTTTGCAATTGCAATAAATTCAAGAGTATGGCCCAGTAGATCCACAGCATATAGGTGTTTATTTAGTTGTTTTTTTTTTTGTTTATGTTATCCTAATATTGATCCGATACAACTTACCGATGACAGTCTTAGCACCAAGAGTTTTAAATGGTGGAGGCCAGGATTTTCCAGTTCTATTCTGGACCAAAAATAAAAACAAAAAAAGTTGCCTGCTTTCATTTATCTTTTCTTTGTTTTTCCAATATCAATACCTCAACTTACACCTTCCCCTATATAGACAATTTTAAGCTGTTTGTGACATCATTTTTTCTTAAATGCATTATCAGGTAGCTAAAGAAAGTGCTGATGTTATAGTACTTGATGACAACTTTAGTACAATTGTGAATGTGGCTAAGTGGGGTCGTTCTGTGTATATAAATATTCAAAAGTTTGTGCAATTCCAGCTAACTGTCAGTATTGTGGCTCTGATGATCAATTTTATTTCCGCATGTATCTCAGGTATTCAATGTTCTGTTGGAGTTCTTCATTTCTTTTCCTGTTAGTGATCAGTGTGTGCCAATGAAAAAAAGTGACACATTTTTCCAAAATTGATGACCGGTATTTATCTGTTGCTATAACATAACAGGATCGGCTCCTCTTTCAGTGGTTCAGTTGCTTTGGGTCAACCTTATCATGGACACTCTAGGTGCAATTGCCTTGGCCACTGAACCACCTCATGAAGGACTAATGAGCAAACCTCCTGTTGGAAGGGAAGTGAGTTTGATTTCCAAGACGATGTGGAGAAATATGATTGGACAGAGTATCTACCAACTGGCTGTACTATTGGTTTTCAACTTCACTGGACATCAGATTTTGAGACTTGAAGGTTCAGACACTACCACAGTTCTCCATACTTTCATTTTCAACACATTTGTGTTCTGTCAGGTATTTAATGAAATAAACTGCCGGGACATGGATAAGATAAATGTTTTCCGTGGCATTTTTGGAAGCTGGATATTCTTAGGTGTCGTGGTTTCTACTGTTATCTTCCAAGTAATCATAGTCGAGTTCTTAGGCACATTTGCAAGCACAACACCACTCAGCTGGGAACTATGGCTACTCAGTATCTTAATTGGTGCTGCAAGCCTGATTGTTGCTGTAATTTTGAAGTTGATACCTGTCGAACAGAAGAATACCGAGCACCATGATGGTTATGATTTACTGCCAAATGGTCCAGAACTTGCCTAAGAAAAGGGGAGAGCCAATGGATAACAGAAAGCCACACGATATGAGAAAGTTTAATTGGTCCAAGTTCGAATGATACAATACCTGGTTTTCAGGTGAGGAAAGGAAAACAAAACCAATGGAAAGAAAATACAGACAAAAGATTTCAACAGCTCATACACCAATTAACCTCCAAGAACCAGTTCAAAGGTATTTGTTTGATTTTTACTCATTTTTTTTGTAAATGGTGCTTGGGATGTTGTTGGAAGTTCATTTCTTGGTAGCACCTAAATGTGTCAAGATACACGATTCTTTTAATAGGGAAAAAAAAAGCTTCTTTTTGTTTGTGAAGACAAGTTGTTTGAGAGCAGATTTTGGACCTTGCACTTTAGCCGGAAGGTTCTTGATTTTGAAAAAGTATCAAGTAACAAAAAAATATATTTGGAGAAGAATTCCTGATTGACAAGAATCACAAGATACAATATACTCGGAGAAGTGTTGATTCCAGCAGATGTTGAAAAAAGTACTTTGTTTACCATCTGAGATGGATCATTATTTTTCAATTTTTTTTTTTGGTTGAATTGAGTTGCCTGGATCTGCATATGCATACAGATCATAAAAGGAGTTTCTTTTGGAGAAGTTTCATACCTTAATAAAGGTACCTCAACATTCTTGGGACCGCAAAATTCTAAAACTGTAGAACCAATTGATTTTTAGCCCAAGAAGGCAAAAAACCCCTGCGAGGGTGCATATACCGGGAGTGTCAATGTGGAATTGATTGTATCCTAGCCAGAATAGTAGGTTTCTGTAATAGGTAAGCTCCCTTACTCTCAAAAGTTTGGAAAGATGCTGGAAAAATGTTATTTTACATCAGTGTATGAATATGTAGTTAAGTCTACTCGAATAATGCCTACTTCTTGAGTGAAAAACAAATTGTTGAGTAGTTAGTCATGTATAGTGTCTCACATCGGGAAGTAGATACCTATTATTATGTAATCACTGTATATAAATAGGATATTGTACAACACTTTAGATAAGCATTAATATTGTCTCTCGTGCTTTCTCACATAGTATCAGAGCATTAGTGAGAAAAGATCGACGTGCGTCATTCCAGCGACATTCGGGAATACATAACTCAGTCACCGTGCAATTTTCCGGTGACCTAAGTGACTGGTTTGCATCATCTCATGTTTGGTGAATGTTGTGCACAAACAAACACCACCATTGGACTCAGAAACCTCCGACGACCAAACCCCAAAAAGATTCTCCTGCAACAGACGCCCCACGCGCCACCCAGATCTGCAGCCATTTTTTGGCCAAGCTTCTTCAGGACAGCCTGGTCGCACAGCAATTCCAAGTCCACCAGTATTATTTTCGACAAATTCCGACAACTTTGAAATTTTCCGGCGAGCTACAGTGTTTTCCGGCGTAAAATAATGTTCTACTTTTCTGCTGTGAACGGTGTTTTCCCAAATATTTCTTCAGTTATCCTGCAGGAGTTAGTGATTTCCACTATTTCAAGTTAAGCGTACTACTTTTAGTCAAGATTTTGAGAAATAAATTGTGGCGAAATAGGATCCAATAGTATGAATGGTTGGATGGTTTCTCTACTGAATTATATTGAGTTCCTTCAGTATAAAGCATGTAAACAGACATCTACAGGGATAGCTTCTGTTGTTCAAACAGATAGTAGCGTGACTTGTGTCTCCCAATCTTCAACCTCTGAGTCTTGGGTCATTGCTTTAGGTGCAGCTGATCATATTTCTGGTAACAAATCTCTTTTCACTACTATTTCATGTTCTCAATCTCTCCCAACAGTCACAATGGCCCGCGGGTCTCAAACCACGGCAACCGGGAAAGGTCAAGCAAGTCCACTTCCTTCCTTACCTTTAGATTCAGTTCTTTATGTTTCCAGTAGTCCTTTTAATCTCATAGCTGTTAGTCGCTTAGCCAAATCACTTAAATGCTCTGTTTTATTTTTTTGATGACCTTGTTTTTATACAGGAATGTAGTACAGGGCGTGAATCAAATGGACTTTATTACCTTGTCCTTGCAATATCACATGGACTCACATCTTGTCTTCCTTCAACAACTTGTCCTGTTACCGATTCACCAGATTTATTGCATAAACGGGTGGACATCCTAGTTTGTCAAAATTTCAGAAAATTATACCTGATTTATCTCACTTGTCCACTCTAGAGTGTGTCAGCTCGGTAAGCATACCCACTCCCATTTCCCTCGGCGTCTTGATAATCGAGCATAGTCACCTTTTACTTTAGTCCATTCAGATGTTTGGGGTCCTAGTCAAGTTAGTTCTACCTTGGGATTCCGCTACTTTGTTAGTTTCATTGATGATTATTCCAGGTGCACTTAGATATTTTTTGATGAAAAATCGATCTGAGTTGTTTTCTATTTTTCAGACCTTCCACACTAAAATTCAAAATCAATTTGGGGTTTCTATCCGCACATTTCGTAGTGATAATGCCCTAGAGTATTTGTCTTCCCCATTTCAGCAATTTATGAACTCTCATAGGATTATTCATCAAACTTCTTGTCCGTACACATCTCAACAAAATGGGGTAGCGGAAAGAAAGAATATTCATCTTATTGAAACTGCTCGTACCCTACTCGTACAATCTCATATCCCGTTGCGTTTTTGGGGGATGCAGTTCTTACATCTTGCTATCTTATTAATCGTATGCCATCTTCAGCTATCCAAAATCAAGTTCCATTCTCTGTTCTGTTTCCCCACTTACCTTTGTTATCTCTTCCAACCCGTGTCTTTGGAAGCACGTGTTTTGTTCATAACCTTACTCCAGGAAAAAATAAGTTAGCTCCTCGTGCTTTTAAGTGCGTACTTTTGGGTTACTCGAGAACGCGAAAGGGGTGTTGATACTATTCTCCCGACCTCCAGTGGTACCTTATGTCCGTTGATGTTACCTTCTTTGAAACCCAATCATACTTCACAGGTCCAGGTATCACTTAGATATTTCTGAGGTGCTGCCAGTTTCATCTTTTGGAGATTCAGTCTCTATCTCCCATTCATCTTCCTTTGTAACTCCACCTCCACCACCTACAGCTCCAATTGCAGCTCCACCACCTATAGCTCCAGTTCCACCACCTAGTCCAGTTCAACCTTCTGCAGCTCGTCCACTCTTGGCTTATCATCGTCGTCCACGTCTAGCATCAGGCCCAGGTGATTCACGTCCTACATCAGATTTTGCACCTACTACGGACTTCTCTCTTCTTAGTCAACCAATTGCACTCTGTAAAGGTGTACAATCTGCACTTAATCCTAATCCTTGTTATGTTGGTTTATGTTATCATCGTCTGTCATCACCTCATCATACTTTTGTATCATCTTTGTCTACTGTTTCTATCCCCAAGTCTACAGGTGAGGCACTATCTCATCCAGGATTGCGACAGGCTATGATTGACGAGATGTCTGCTTTACATGCGAGTGGAACTTGAGAGCTTGTTCCTCTTCCTTCAAGTAAGTCTATCGTTGGTTGTCGTTGGGTTTATGCAGGCAAAGTCGGCCCGGATGGCCAGGTTGATCGTCTTAGGGCTCGTCTTGTTGCAAAAAGATACACTCAGATTTTTGGGCTTGATTATAGTGACACGTTTCTCCCATGGCTAAAGTAGCATCTGTTGGTCTCTTTTTGTCTATGGTTGTTGTACGTCATTGGCCTATTTATCAGTTAGACATTAAGAATGCTTTTCTCCACGGTGATCTTGAGGAAGAAGTTTATATGGAGAAACCGCCTGATTTTGTTGCTCAGGGGGTGTAGTGGTCTTGTATGCCGATTGCGCAGGTCACTTTATAGTTTGGAACAGTCCCCTCGAGCTTGGTTTGGTAAGTTCAGTACAGTTATTCAGGAGTTCGGCATGACTCGTAGTGAAGCTGATCACTCTATATTTTATCGGCATTCTGCTCCTAATCTGTGTATTTATCTGGTGGTTTATGTTGATGATATTGTTATTACTGGCAATGATCAGGATGGTATTACTAATCTGAAGCAGCATCTCTTTCATCACTTCCAGACTAAGGATCTGGGCAGATTGAAGTATTTTCAAGGTATTGAGGTCACTCGGTCTTGCTTAGGTATTGTTATTTCACAACAGAAGTATGCCTTAGACATTCTTGAGGAGACTGGAATGATGGGCTGCAGACTTGTTGACACTCCTATGGATCGGAATGCTAAGCTTCTGCCTGGACAAGGGGAGCCTCTTAGAGATCCTACGAGATATAGGAGGTTGGTCAGCAAATTGAATTATCTCACAGTGACCAGGCCTGACATTTCTTTTCTGGTGAGTGTTGTAAGTCATTTATGGATTCTCCCTGTGATAGTCACTGGGATGCAGTTCGCATTCTTCGGTATATAAAGTCAGCTCCAAGTAAAGGATTACTATTCGAGGATCGAGGCCACGAGCAGATTGTTGGGTGCACAAATGCTGATTGGGCCGGATCACCTTCTGATAGATGTTCTACGTCTGGATATTGTGTTCTAGTAGGAGGCAATTTGGTCTCTTGGAAGAGCAAGAAACAAAATGTAGTTGCTCGATCTAGCGCCGAAGCCGAATATCGAGCCATGTCCATGGCAATGTGAAAGCTAGTTTGGGTCAAGCAGTTGCTCAAGGAGTTAGTTCGGAGAAATCAGCAAGATGGAATTGGTTTGTGATAATCAAGCTGCTCTTCATATTGCATTAAATCCGGTGTTCCATGAGAGGACTAAACACATTGAGATCGACTATCACTTTGTCAAAGAAAAGATACTCTCAGGAGATATTGTTACAAAATTTGTGAAGTCAAATGATCAGATAACAGATATTTTCACTAAGTCTCTTACTGATTCTCATATTAGTTACATCTGTAACAAGCTTGGTACATATGATTTATATGCACCAGCTTGAGGGGGAGTGTTAAGTAGTTAGTCATGTATAGTGTCCCACATCAGGAAGTAGATACCTATTATTATGTAATCATTGTATATATATAGGGCGTTGTACAACACTTTAGATAAGCAATAATATTTTCTTCCGTGCTTTCTCACATATATGATGACCTCAAATCTCTCATTTCAGAGAAATAACTCACTCATGAGGTTGATGAGGTAATCCAAGTGTAAGACGCAAGGCTTCTGCGTGGAAACAAGCTACTCTTGCCACTTTTCTCAATTTGAAGTCATAAAGCTTCTATATCTGGCTTAATTAATTGCTTCTTGGAGGAAAAGGCACTACTGGTTTTGGTGAAGGCAGTGAATAAGTTTTGCTTACTCCCTGACAAACTAAGCGTCGTGAACCAATACTTTTGAAGTACAGCATTTTCACCAGTTTCACTTTCTCAATTCATGCATTACAGAAAGTAATTGCCACTAAAATTCTTAACACAGAAGCTAAGAAGACACCAAGACAGCACTTTCAAGGTTCCATACTATGCTTCAACCACAAATGTAAGCTGAACATTCATATCAGCAACACAGGGTTTACATACAAGCGAACAAATATTCGGCAGAGGAAAACAGAAAACCAACAGCATACTATATTACTCTGGTGTAATAACATACAACCTGATACAACTGCGCACATCCTATCACGTGGATAAAAAGAATACAACAGAAGAACGAAATAGTTCCCTGCCCTGTCCCTTAAAACTTTAGTGCGACGACATAGAATCTGATACAACTGCATACATGCTCTCATGAGGAACATAAAGAATACGACAGAGGAATGGAAACGATTCCCCAGACCCCCATCCCCTTTTCCATTTCATCACTTGATCTATGGGCTACAACATTGCAATGGAAATCTATCTTTCCCTAACTCTAACATGCACCTACGTTTCAATAAACAAAACTGGGGTACTCCGCATGGCCAGCTCATTTGTGTCTTCTTTTG